TTAGGTATGTGGAATTTCCTGCCTGTATTATTAAACATATTGTGAAATCAGCTATCTTGGCAGAGTAGATGGTGTGTATCTAATGGCAATTCTCTAGCTATTATTTTTCTCCCTGCTTAAGTCAGCCAGACTGCAGAAGTGACACAAAATAGCTCATTTACCATGTTCCCAAGAGAGTACTAACAAACTTATTTCTGATGGTACACATCTAAGTAAGCTAGTCTGTATCGGATTGAGGAAGAACAAGGGTGAGATTAGATAATGATTGCTAAGTGTGAAATAACAAAAACTGGAAGAAAACTAAAAATGTCCAGGTTTCTGAGTGTTAAAACATCAGAGTCTAAGTAGGTGTTCACATGTTTATGTTTTTATATATATAAATAAATATGTTGGTTATCAGAAGATAGCATTTTGCAGTTGTCTACCACTGTGGTCTTTATAGTTCAGAATACAGGTACATTTCAAAAACTCCCACCTTTAATGGAGTTTACTGTATATTAGTTTATTGTAATAACTGGGAATTCTGAATGGGTAAAATCCTCTTGAGAACTTTTCCTAAGCTTTTTTATATTTGAATTTAAATAAACATGATCATGGAATATTCTGTATACAACAGTTTTGATTTTGAGTATGAGGTTGTCGTTTTCAGAGTAGAATGATTTGCTTTTTAGTTCTTCCAGCTTCAGATACTCTTCCAGCATATTCCCTCTAGGTGTGAAAAACAGTAGTATCTTGTCTAAAGGCAGTTACATAGAAAAAAAACTAAAGCAAGCAAACATTTTTCAGTACTCGGATAAACTTTTATCTTACATAGATAATAAAATATAACTACTTTCTATTTGAAATTAAATTATCTGACCTGTATTCCCATCATAGTATCAAACTCAGTTTGAAAGGGTTTAGGGTTAAGAGATGAGTTTTATTGTATTTACTGTCTCTTTCCCAGTTCCCACAGTGATTATAGCAAATACAAGACTGCTATAATATGACCTTGACAGTTTTGTTCCCTTTCTGACATCTCTCTCATACTGACACTGGACATGTGGCAATGGTGGGCCACAGGAGGGGAATTCATATTCCTGCATAACAAAAAGCATTTTCCAACATCCATATCCTTCCTTTTCGCACTTCGGGAGAAGGGAGAGTACAGCTATATGTGGGGGCTTTTTTGTAAACTTGCCTTTCCTTTAGCAGAGCGACATACTTCAAGATTTTTTTTTAAAAAGGAAAACATGTTCTAATCCCATGCTTATAAAATGATAAGCATAAACTGTTTCAAGGAATTAACTTTTCCCTTCAGCATGTTAGTGATAACAGTACTTCTTCTAGGTTGAGGGGTATTGCAGATGGCCAGACAGATGGGAAACATAGGTCTGTAATATAGCAAATAGCTGTTGTGGTTATAGGTATAGAGTTATAAGTAGAGGTATAAGGTTCTGGTTAATCTGAATGTCTGGCAAATAACACGTTTGGGTTTGTAAAGTCTCGCAGCTTCCTAATTTACAGTTACTGCTATGAGTTGTATGTATTGTTTATTTATTCAGTGTATTCTTTTAGATCTCTTTCAAATAGACATAAATATGATCAGTGTGGCTTCACTTGGTGATTCATGCATTCCTCAGGCAAATTTGTTTTGTGAATACTTTCCTTACATAGATCTGTTACTGAAGTGTCGTGTTATTAAGCTATTTGAAATTTATAAACAGTGCTGTGAGTCAGGGTTAAGGCAGGAGGGGAAAGAGTGCCTGTAACATGTAGATTCACATACTCTGAGAGCTGGTTTACTGTAATGATCTTATGGTTATTCTCTTTATGATAAGGTGAAAGACTTGATCCAACAGCTGTAAACATCCTCCAGCAAATCATTGAGTTGGGTTCAGAAACCCATGATGCCACTGCAGTTGCTTCTGTAGTTACCATGGCACCTGGCACTGTAACAGTGGTAAAGCAGGTAAGAGCTCTTTTCTTCTTTAAAACAGCTATATTTAATTTTCATCTATTTATTCTGAAATGAGTATTATTTTGCAAGGGTTAACTTTTGAATGACCATGCAAGACATGTATGGAGTTTTTCCTAAACTAATTTTTTACTACATATTGTATATATCTATATGTGTGTTTATATGCCCACACACATACATGTTTATACATATAGACACATATATGCTTATACATATAAAAAGGCATACTTTTTTGCATGCACAATACACATATATATGTGTGTGTGTGTGTGAAAATACAGCATTTTTCTAGCAGGGGTTTTCAGGCTTTTTAAAATAACATGCCTGCATTGTGCGTGTGCGTTTTGTTCCATTGTCATCTAAAAGAACCGGGAGGTTCTTGGCACATCATTCATCCAGATACAGAAGAGCCTGAAAGGGTGTTTCAGAACTGTGTGTGCTCTACGACTGTAGCACTGTAGGACCATACCCAGAGATGAACCATTGTCGTTAGTCTTTGCCGTGCTGTCCTGTGGCTGAAGTTTGACAGACTTGTGGGGTCTAAAGTCATGTACCCTGGGGTCAAATGAGACTTCTCCTCAGCCTGAGTTCACATTGCCTTTCTAGTGAGGGTTTCAAGACAAGTGAGCTGCAGGCACGTAACAGCTTCAAGAAGAGCTGCTCCTTACAGCAGTTGCTTGTGTGAGAGAAAAATCAGTGTGGGCACTCGCATTTGCGATAAATAAAGAAAAATTCAGTTGAGTTGTAGTTGGTTGAAAAAAAATCTGTGTTTAATTTTGTTGTTACCACAGAAATCTTGCCAGACCGGAAGATACAGGTCAATATAAGGAAGAAAAAAAAAAAAGAAAGTATAAGATTGATAGTTAATTTCACGCTTTTGCACAAATTCACTTTACAGAAAAATGGTGGACTCAGCTGATAATTATATAACATAATTTGTGGTATGCAATACAGTTCCTCTTAAAACGAGACAAACATTGTAAGATATAGGTAGAAGTAATTTTAATGTGTGTACATTTTTCATGAAGTCTGGTACTGCACAGTTTTTGCTAAAATTATTTGCAATGTACAATATTACTAAAGCACTTTAGAAATTAAGAATAAGATACACAAAATCAGCTACACAAAATCAGCAAGTAAAAGGAAATAATTTCCAATATGAGGTGGCTATTGAGTGCAAACATCAAGACTTTTGCTCAGTATTTCTTCCTCACAGGTGCCCGCTAACTTTGTTGATGTCATTTTACGTTTCTCCTCACAGTGTTCTCCAAGCCCCACTTGCTCTCCTGTTTCATCATACCTCTCAGCTTATCCCTTTTTTCATTCTGTTCATTGCTTCACTGGGGTCTCTGTGCTCAATATGGTTGATAGGTGAGGGAAGGAAAGTACATGAGAAGTCTTAAATTCCTGAAGAATTTAAGTAACTCCTTTTATTTAAATGAACCCAAACTGATTGAGTGGTAGAAGTAACTAGTAACTTAGTATTTATTTGTAGTGTTGTGAATGTTGAATTCATAAGGGCTCCATAGCAGTGGGAAGCCTGTAGTCTCTGAAGGCAGTATTTGGATAGTTCCTAAACTTGCTGCCCAGATGTCAGGGAGATAAGGCAAGTTTCAAGACAAAGCATTTTGAGATGTTCCTTTGCAATACTTAACAGGTATTTTGATTAGAAACCGTGCAGGAGTTTTGGGGTTTTTTGAAGAGTAACAGATCCAGATTTGAAGACTAAATTCAGTTATTAAAGAGAAGAAACATTTTAGTCCTATTATATGCAAGTTTCAAAACAACTTTAACAGTGGAGTGGCTGCCAACGTGCATGCTGTGCTGTACATATGACGTGTTTAAGGGTTGAATGCAGTATTAGCCTTTGGTGTTTGTCTGTGCTGTCTGTCAATATTACTGAAATGTGTTCTTCCCTTAAAAATGCATCTTCTGAGGCCCTTCTACTAAAAGTGTAGGAGAAAGTGACTGTTGAAGTATCAGCTGCCAAGGAGAAACTGTGTTTTGATATTTGAATGTTAAACCTTAAAAATACATAATTAATTTAGTGATTCTTCCTCTCCAAGTATTAAATCTGATCAATGTCTGATTAATTTTAAAATCGATCATCTTCCTTGTTAGACCATCTGAATTTGCTGATAGCTTTTTGTAAGTAAATGTTTATATTCCAAAACAATTTTCTCCCTCACTTTTTAATCTATATTTCTAACCTTGTGAGTTTATAAGCTCCTAAGCATTGATCACTTTTCCCTTTCCTTGTATACATCAATGACTGTCACTGGTCTGTAGTCAAACTGTTACAAGATTGACTCCTATATCAAGTCAAATACTAAATTATCAGAGCACAGAATCTCTTCGCTGCTTTTGTATTTTGTACCCCTTCCCGCCTTTAGAATCTTGTTTATATAAAGCACCTTTTTCCCCCTAACTTGAAGTTGCACGGAAGCAAAATTATTGAAGAATTTAAGTATATTTCAAGTTGAGTGGTCTTGTGCCACTCCTGTTTATGCTGGGTTTTACTAATGCCTTAGTTTGATGCTCGAAGCACTGTTTGTCTGTTAACACGTTTCTTGCATGTAGTGGAATGCCTACTCATTTCTTTCTCTGGTAGACTCGGTGGATTTTCACTCTTTGTGTACAAAACTGTGCAGATCTGTGATTTCCCAAGCAGCTTGCCAAGCCACTTTCCATCATTTATGAGCAGTCCTGGCTGACTGGGGAGGTCCCAACAGATTGGAAATTGGTCAGTGTGACGCCCATATATAAGAAGGGTCGGAAGGATGATCTGGGAAATTACAGGCCTGTCAGCTTGACTTCGGTGACTGGGAAACTGATGGAGCAGCTCATCCTGAGCACCATCACACAACACGTGTGGGACAACCAGATGCTCAGGCCCAGTCAGCACGGATTTATGAAAGGCAGGTCCTGCCTGACAAACCTGATCTCCTTCTACAACAGGTCGACCTGCTTATTGGATGAGGGAAAGGCTGTGGATGTAATTTACCTTGACTTTAGAAAGGCTTTTGACACCGTTTCCCACAGCATTCTCCTGGTGAAACTGGCTGCTCGAGGCTTGGATGGGCACATGCTTCGCTGGGTAAAAAACTAAATGGATGGCCGGGCCCAAAGAGTTGTGGTGAACTGAGTTAAATCCAGTTGGCGGCCGGTCACGAGTGGTGTCCCCAGGGCTGGGTGTTGGGGCCACTCCTGTTTAACATCTTTATGGATGATCTAGAGGAGGGGATCGAGGGCACCCTCAGTCAGTTTGCAGATGACACCCAGTTGGGTGGGAGTGTTGATCTGCTCGAGGGTGGGGAGGCTCTGCAGAGAGACCTGGACAGGCTGGAGCCATGGGCTGAGCCCAACTGGGGGAGTTTCACTGAGGGCAAATGCCGGGGGCTGCCCTTGGGCCACAACAACCCCCAGCAGCGCTACAGGCTTGGGGAGGAGTGGCTGGAGAGCTGCCAGTCAGAGAGGGACCTGGGGGGGTGATTGACAGCCGGCTGAACAGGAGCCAGCAGTGTGCCCAGGGGGCCAAGAAGGCCAATGGCATCCTGGCTTGTGTCAGCACTAGCGTGGCCAGCAGGGACAGGGAAGGGATCTGAGCCCTGGACTTGGCACTGGTGAGGCCGCCCCTTGATTCCTGTGTTCAGTTTTGGGCCCCTCACTACAAAAAGGACATTGAATGACTCGAGCGTGTCCAGAGAAGGGCAACGGAGCTGGGGCAGGGTCTGGAGCACAGGTCTGCTGGGGAGCGGCTGAGGGAACTGGGGGGGTTTAGTCTGGAGAAGAGGAGGCTGAGGGGAGACCTCATCGCCCTCTACAGCTCCCTGACAGGAGGGTGCAGAGAGCTGGGGATGAGTCTCTTGAACCAAGTAACAAGCGATAGGACAAGAGGGAATGGCCTCAAGTTGTGCCAGGGAAGGTTTAGACTGGCTATTAGGAAGCATTTCTTTCCAGAAGGGGTTGTTGGGCGTTGGAATGGGCTGCCCAGGGAGGTGGTGGAGTCCCCATCCCTGGAGGGGTTTAAGAGTCGGGTCGACATAGCGCTGAGGGATCTGGTGGAGTTGGGAACTGTCAGTGTGAGGTTAATGGTTGGACTGGATGATCTTCAAGGTCCTTCCCAATCTAGATGATTCTGTGATTCCCAGGGGAGGATCAGTTGGCGGTGTACCTGACTGCTGAGTTACCTTTAGTGGGCTTTATGGAACTAGAGCAAGAACCAAAGGAGGTTTGTAGATGATGATGATGATGATTTCTCTTTTAAGTTTCTCTCGTTTCATTTTTCTCTTTTAATTTTTTCCCTTTTAATTTTCTGTAGAAATCGGTGTAGAAAAGTCCGTTTGATCTGTCATACAGATTTGGTATGTGGTTCTGTTCTTCCTACCAGATGATTGCTTCAGCGTTACATCCATTCTAATTTTTAATTTGAGGGAAAGAAGTCTTTAAATGTTATTAACATGAGTGTAATCCTCTCCTATTCAGAATTGTCAGCTTTTCTTTATTCTTCAACATTTCAATGCTTTCTATGGGGATATCACTCATTTGTACCTGTGACTTTGTCAGGTTTTAATTATGCTGAGTTCCTAATTGTTAACCTTGAATTGATCTTAAGACATGTTTATATTTCATTTTTCTACTGGAAAATTTATTCCACACTTTCTTTTGTGACCTTCAGCTTCTCTTGTGAATTGTGAGACAAAAAATTCATTCAGAGTGTCAGCAATGTATCAGCATCATCTGTCACTGGATTTCCCCTCTTGTTCTTTTATGGCCTCACTGGGTCCTTGCTTAGCAGCTTGGTTCCATTATTTTCCATAAAAACGTATATTGTAGTTGTTCTGATTTTTATGCTGTTATGAGGGTTCTTTTCTTTTTCTCTAAGGTCATAAATTATCCATTTTTTTCATCAGTTCTTACCTTAGTATCTCATTTTTAGCTAGCCCTTGCAAGTTGCCTTTATATTTCTCTATTTGCACCAAGAAATTTCT